CCAAGAGGAGACTGGTTTTCCTTTGCTAAAGTAAGGAAACTGCTTCCTTTGCTCCTATAAACAAACTCGCGAGACTAGCATACCTCAGAGGCGCGCATGCTGCACATACGTGCTGCGTCATCCGCCGGAACTGCTTCAGTGTATGACAGTCAGCGGAAGTGAGAGAAAGGTGTTTATTACGTTTGAAATATGGATATTTTTCTTATGAAAACGCATGGATTCGCTACAAGAGACCTTTATTCACCCCCGGTGATTATGAATGCGTGCGCTTTATTTGACGACTTGTGGACAGTTAAACAGAAACACCCGCTGACTGCAATGATAGAGCTTGGAAGAGCCAGGACCATTTTTAATATAACTCCGATTGGATTCGTCTGAAAGAAGAAAGTCATATACACCTAGGATGCCTCGAGGGTGAGTAAAACACAGGCTAATTTTCATTTTTGGGTGAACTAACCCTTTAACCAAACAAAACGCACCAATGGCGACAGACTGACTGCTTTTGAAAATACTATAGAAGTGTAATGTGACATAATATTGTGAGGTAACTTTAATGTGAGAATAATTACTGTAAAACTAAAAAAAAATTGACAATTGTTGAGTTGTTTTTGTAAAAAAAAAAAAGTAATTGTTTAAATCAACGTGACGATCTTAAATTTAGTGAAAAGATATATTGGTATGTATATATTATTGTACTAAGATGGCATGGTTAGCAAGTGGATAAATGATTCCCTTGAATCAGTAGGGAGAGCTCATGTGCTCCTATTAATACATGAACAATTACAGAAAACAGAATTCACAACACAAGTTAAGATCATCAGGTGACCAGTTTTTCAAGTGGGTTCAAGTGAACCCACTGGTTGCTAAAAATGGAGATTATGAGGGTTTTATTAAGTAAAAAAGCATAAATATTTGTGTTTGTTTTCAGATCATGTCCATACAGAAATACAAAGCCCATGGGGGATGTGGAGTGAATGTCCTACTTGTTGATGTTGGCACAGCGCAGCTCCCCTCAAAGAAGTGGTATGTATTGAGAAGATCTACTGTAAAAACCTAAACAGCAATTTACCTTTGTCTATAAACTGTCCCAAGTTGGAGTGGCAGCCATTTTTAAACAGATCTCCCCAAGATCCCGCCCACAAACGTGTGCATCATCTTAAAGCACAAGTTCTCTTAAAGGTGTAGTAGGACATATAAAATCATGTATATCTAATTCACAACTAAAACTAAATGTCTTCTTTTGAGAATGAAGATGAAGTGTGGGTTTCAGAGTGATACTTATGAAGTGGTGGCCACTGACAAAAAATTATGGCTTCGGTCCAGAAGGGGTCTTCACTGCCGAAATAGCTCAGTTGGGAGAGCGTTAGACTGAAGATCTAAAGGTCCCTGGTTCGATCCCGGGTTTCGGCATTTTTGACACTTCATTGTTGTGAATAAGTCTTAATACTTTTAACCCAAACCGATTTGTATTATTTCATCATTATTCTATAAATGCTTTTATTTGTAGTTTTTTTTTTTTACGCTAAACACAAAGACAAATTATCACCACCACAATACCACACATAAAGCATTTCTGTGTATTCATTGATGGGTATATAGTAAAATAAAATATTTTCCAATATTTAACAACAAAGAAAATGGAGCCATATAATTATTTCATAAATGCTCATTTAACCAAGAAAGACGGGATTAGAAAAAATATATAGATTTATAAAGAACAGATTAGGCTTACTTGATTGTCTCATTGTATGTGTCTTGAAATGAGATAAAACTGCCAGGCGACAGTGATATAAGGGGTGTAACATTTAATCAAATCTCAGATATAATCATTTGATAACAGCATACAAAAGAATATTAAGAAAGGCACCTGAGTAGAGATAACTGATATAGAGCAACAGTGTCATAAAAACACCGGTAAATATAAAGCAACACTGCTGGAGCTGTATTGTGAATATTTAATCAACAATTTCATTTCTGTAATGAATATGACACATTACACTTATGGCATTTTCCATTTTCTTCCATGAATGGCACTATATTGTTATGAAATTACATTCAAAATATATTATCTCCACATACTGTATAATACCAAGTAATGTGTACAGTATTTCAGTACTTGTTCATATCCCTTCCATGTTCTACTGGTCTAGCTTCTTTTAGACTTTCCTTTTAGTGCTGCTTTATCAAACATGGATTGACAGGCAGATAGCTGACACCATGAGTCCACTATAAGAATGAAAGGGATGACAATCCACAAAGTATTCATAAACACAAAGTAGAACCAGAAGTAGATGGGGTGACCATATTCGCTGTGAATATATCCATCTCTGTGCTCAGTGAAGAAGTAGAGGACTGCACCATACAGCTGACCTGTAAGTAATGGTGGATGTTGAACTTAATTGTGCCTTCGAACATACACTATGTTTCTCTATTTTAAATGATATAATGTGGAATAAATAACTTTTATAATTGCATATACTGTACAGTGCGTCAAAGACACATATCTTACCTAGAGATACAATGAGTTGCAGCACAAATCTGTAAGAATGATTATACAGGAAGGCCACAACAATCCATATGCTAAAGGGACCCCACAGGCACGTGGTCACTGTCTCCATGCTAACGTTGAAATTATCCGCTCTGGAGAAAAGATTTCATATAAGGAGGTTAGATACAATGCATAGACTCAATGCAAGCATGTCTTTAACTTACATTGCATATCTGCTGTCTCCTTTGGAATATTCTTTCCCTGAAGAGGGAAAAAATAAGCATTTTTGGTATTCAGATGTATGAATATGTTCACGAGACATTAAGGGAATATTTTCAAACTATTATTTTAAAACATCCTAATGATAACTTGAGTCAAACAGACTTTGAACCTCACTCACACAGTTGAGAAAGGAAACTCTGGTCTTTAGGAATGATGGTGTAGTATAAAGAGAACCATCCCTCAATGACCCCATGGATGAAGCCACACACAGTGAACCAGCACAGAGCTAACCTCCTCCCTCCACTAAGCCTGCTTCCACACACCTTACGGCCAGTCAGTGACCAGGTGGCAAGCAGCAGTATCCCGGACACAGAGAACAGGAATATGAGAATCTCTGACATTGAACGGTCATTAGCCACATAGTTGGGAATGGACAGGTTGCGTGGCCAATATGGGTGATTTATAGTTTCTTCTTCCTTCAACATCTGTAAACGTTTATGAGACAAAATTTATAAATGGTAGCATTAGAAAAACTTAATCTGGAGTAACGGATCTTGCACCAGAAATGAACATACTACATGGAAATGACTTCATACGTCTGTACTTACTCTGTAATGAGTTGTGAAATATGCAAGAAATTAGATTACTTACCGCGTTACTCTTTATGTTGCATATAACTGTCCTCTTAAAGGTGGAGAGCGCGGCAATGAAAATTAGCTCTGAAACTACATTATCAAATACAGAAACATCGCACCACCGAGTCACAGCCTACTAAAAGCCCACGTGATTCACGCTGCCCAATCACTTTTAGGCTTTGTGGGAGGAACAACCCATCGTGAAATGTACTCGGCTTGCAGTTGGACGATCTTCTCGGAACATGCATGTCGTCACATGTGATTAAGTGTGTATATGCTGGAAGAAATGCATGATATATTTTGTAAATTAATACCTTTTGTCTCGTAAATCGCGTTTAGCGGTTGTTAATAAAGTGATGCATAAAATAAAATGAAGCTTACAAGTAAAAAAAAAAACACACACTCCGATGCCGTGATAGGGACTCATCCCTGCCGTGACCCGGATTCGAACCGGGGTTGCTGCGGCCACAACGCAGAGTACTAACCACTATACGATCACGGCGAGCTACTGGAGGTGGTGGAAGCTATCGGTGGAATTGGCCTTTAATGTCTATACATTAATTTGTTTAAACAGCTTTTCTATTGCACTATTTTCTGTTATATTGTGCTGATACATGAGCATAATACTTTTTCTAGCCTGCGAATCAATACTAGAACTTGATGATTTACAGTAATTCACAACGCAGCATGTTTATTTTTATGGTGTCTAGTGAAAATAAAGTGAGCTTCTGCCATTGATCTTTAAGTTTAAGTTTATTAAAAGAACTAACACGAAGGACGGACACTATGATAAGCTGAAATTATTGTATTTACACATTCATATTATCGATGCTATCTTAAAAGGATCTGCTTTCGAACGCATAAATATCTCCCATATGGTCTAGCGGTTAGGATTCCTTATATTGTGCTGATACATGAGCATAATACTTTTTCTAGCCTGCGAATCAATACTAGAACTTGATGATTTACAGTAATTCACAACGCAGCATGTTTATTTTTATGGTGTCTAGTGAAAATAAAGTGAGCTTCTGCCATTGATCTTTAAGTTTAAGTTTATTAAAAGAACTAACACGAAGGACGGACACTATGATAAGCTGAAATTATTGTATTTACACATTCATATTATCGATGCTATCTTAAAAGCATCTGCTTTCGAAAGCATAGATATCTCCCATATGGTCTAGCGGTTAGGATTCCTGGTTTTCACCCAGGCGGCCCGGGTTCGACTCCCGGTATGGGAAGTAAGCCTTTTCTTTTTTTTACCATGAAATATCGCGTTTTACGAATTCGAGTCCATACTTTAAAAAAGTCACAAATACAGCATATGCAAGCGAGATATTCAGCAAGTTCAAATTACACACAAAACATACTGGGTGAATATTTAATTACACAACCCATATTTTTGGAAAAATAACATTAATTATAACTTGAGCGCTATATTTGTGCATACATATAAATCCTGTTAATATTGCATTCACAGACTTCATACTAAACAAGTCAAGTCAAGTCACCTTTATTTATATAGCGCTTTTAACAATACAGATTGTGTCAAAGCAACTG